CTGGAAATGCTCTTTCTATTTCACTGCAGTATAAGATTATACAACCAATGTATTTATACAATAACTGGACGGCTAACTAACTTGTAAACTAACCAAAACCAACTAACTAATTCTCTAACTGTACAAACATAAATAATCTCCTACAACCGTTCTCTACAGTTTCTCGGGGTAAGGATGGTATTTGGTGGGTTTTGAGATATGGGTAGTCGAGATCCGGTGATATGGGTCATAGTTGAGAATCGGGGTGATCGGAGTCCCAATATTGTTGGAGTAAGCCATAGTTGAGGGATCTGGGAAGGTCGGGTACGTAGACTTTAATAGAGTTTTGGAAGAAAAGGAAGTGATTTTGGGGAAAGGAATTTATGGGTTTTGTAGAAGGCGAGCTGAAGAAGAAGATGATGATGAAGTAAGAAAGGGAAAGGAGGAGAATGACTGTGAGAAACAGATATTTTGTTGCTGCTATTGTACTACTTTTGATTGCCATTTTTAAGGGGTTTTTTTATCTTTAGTTTCCTTCTATAACTTCTGCGTTTTGTTTTAGGTTAAACTGCAAAAATGGTCACTATTTTTTGGGCAATTTTTTATTTTTCTCACTGAAGTTTGATAAATAGTAAATTAGTCACTAATATTGTTGATTTTTTAATAAATCGGTCAATCACCATTAACATCCATTACCACAATAATAGAATGTTAATGTGGCATGTTAGACCAATTGACCTATCACTGTTTGATCATACGAGACACCTTTCGACTGATCGTTTGACTCTCCTATCTTGTTTTGCTTTCTTCATCATCTTTTGTGTCGCTTTCTACATCGTCAAGCTTGTTTTTTTCATTTCAAGATAATGATTTGGAGCCTTGTTTTATGGTAATGCGTACATATGCGTGCATACGGTCCTTAAGCAGTTTGAAATGGCTTGCATGTGTCCATTTCATTATTCCTCATAATCCCAAACACTCGATTAAGGGGAACACAAAATCAAAATGTTTGTTCTGAAATGAAGAAATCAAGCTTGATGATCTAGAAAATAAAACAAAAAATGAAATAAAGCAAAATGAGAGAGGAGAATCAAATGGCTTGTCAAAGGGTGCTCCGCATGGTTTAACGGTGTTAGGTCAGTTGGTTTAACGCGCCACATCAGTATTATGTTACTGTAGTAACGACTGTTAATAGCAAGTGACCAATTTGTTATAAATAGATCATTAGTGACTAATTAGTTACTTTTTGAAATTTTAGTGGGTAAACGACAACTTACTTAAATATTAATGACAAATTGTGTAATTTACCCTTTTTCTTTCATCTAAAATTTATGATTAATTCTCAATCATAAATATTAGGATAAGCTACATGATTTGTACCTAAACAAAAATACTTTAGTTTGTCTTTGTACTCAAACTTTATTTTTTTTCAAAACTATACTTAATGTTTAGTTTAATTTAGGTTTTGTTTTGGTATCACGTCGTTAAAAATTTAACAATGATGTTAACGTGTCAGCATAAGATAATACGACGTCGTCATTGAAAAAAATTAAACAAAATACCACTTCAAATGTTCTATTAATTTTTTAACGATAGAGATAAAGTACCAAATTGAAACCTAAACTAAACTTTAAATATAATTAAAAAAATAAATTTTAGTATCATAATAGAACAAAAATAATAATTTAAGTACTAAACTTATAGTTTACCTTAAATATTAAAATTTGTAATTTTTTTATTTAAATCTTAAATTTTAAATTTGAACATATAAACTTTTAATCATATTTATTTTGTTTATTTAATTTTAAAGGTGTTCATGTGAGACTCAAGTTTGTTTAAATTTTTAATATCACGTTCGTGTTTGTCTATTTTTTGGGTTCATTCGTTTAATGTTCACGAATATGTTCGTTTAACGTTCCCGAACATATTCGTTTAACGTTCGTGAACATATTCGATTAATGTTTGACGGTCAACACTCTCTTTTCACCCTTTTATAAACCAAAAAATTAATAAAATTACATCGCTAGTCCTTAAGTTCTTAACCTTTACAGTCTGAACTTCAAAGTTCACCTTATACTTAAATTAATCCATATTTTCACTAATATTTAAACTATAAAAAATAACTAGTCCTTAATTTCCTTAACCTTTACACCCTGAACTTCAAAGTTCACCTTATACTTAAATTAATCCATATTTTCACCAATATTTAAACTATAAAAAAATAAAAGGAGAAGAAGAACCCGGTGAATGAGCTTATAAAAGAACTTATAAATGAGTTTGTTCGCAGACATAAACGAACCAAATAAACTTTTATTTGTATTTATTGATTTATTAAATCAACATAAAATTTGTTCATACTTATTTAATCGAGCGGAGATTCTCGTTTTGTTTTGTGCCTCTTATAGGGTAATATGATTGTGGATGGCCTAGCAAAACTTGCTTGGAGTTTGCCCTTCGGTTCTCACTCGTTTCAGCAAGCTTCTGGCCAAGGAGAGGAGGCATGCATTGGAGGACGCAGCTGTCACTTAGGCTTTTCTAGTCTTTGGTTATTTTGTTCTTATTTTGGGAAAGTATAAATAACGGTAACGAATCAATTTAACTTAGTGATTAAAAGAATCGTTGTTATTCCTAGAATTTACGGGTTCTAGCACCAACGACTGCAGCAGAGTGATTGAGTATTTATTGTTAAATGGGTAACCTAGTTTAAAGCAAAAAATTGTTAAAAATAAATTCATTTATTAGTAAGTACTTGTGACACGTCCCATGGTTTCGAAATTTAAGGCCCCATACTTTGAGAAAATCTGTTTACCTTAAATAAATATTTTTCTTACTGTATGCACACGTGAAGAAAATTTAGTGAAAAAACTTAATTCCAAATGTTTGGAATTTTTTTTATTTTGTAAGAAAAAATCGTAATATGATAAATTTTGATATTTTATAATTTCTTCTTACTATAAAATATTTTAGAGACCTTATTTTAGAATGTAGCACATGACCTCCACATCTTTTAGGACAGGCATGGCGGAAGTAGATGCAATCGAAAATGTGATAAAGAACATAACATTTTAAGTTTGGTGCAACTAAAATGTGAACTTTTTCGTAACATTTTTAGGTGAAACCGAAAATGTTATAATCTTCATAATATTTTCGGTTTGCAACAAAAAATGTTACATTCTTTATAACATTTAACATTTTAAACTGTGTGATTATGTCCAACTTAAAATATTCTATTTTTCATAACATTTTTGGTTTGCAACATAAAATGTTGCATTCTTCGTAACATTTAACACTTTAAGTTACGTGATTACGTCCGACCTAAAATATTATATTTTTATCATATTTTCGGTTATGTCCCTTTCTAATTTTTTTAAAGTCTTAAATTAAGTTTACATACCGCAGAATTACCCTGTTATCTTTCCATTAAAATAAAAAATATTAGCAAAAAGATAAAATAAGCTACGTTATTTTAACATGTTTGTTGACTCTTTAATTAGTTGATTGATTTGTTAATGTAACAAAAATTAAAAGTTTAAGTACAAAAAGAATTAAGGATTAAAATATTTTTAAAAAATCTAAAAAATGGTCAAAATAATGTGTATAGTTAAAAAAATCAAAAGGTATATATGAAAATAAATTTTATTTTTATTTTATATATGTATATAATTAGATATAGCCTTTTAAATTAGAATCAATCATTATATAATATTATAAATAATTAAATTGAATTTGAATATAAACTCAAATAAATATATTATTTGACTCAAAAATTTTTAAATGAAATTTGAATGGTAAAATGGTATTCCTAAACTCAAATAACTTGATTTTTTTACTCGACTCAATTGAACTCACCCCTAATTATAATATTATTTAAATTAAAAAATAGATATTCAATAATCATATTAGTCTCAATTATATTCGCGATCAAACAAAATCAAACCTTAAATAATAAATAAAATAAAATAAAATCAATTTCATTTTTCCATCCACATAACACAACACAAGATCCGAGACTTCAGCTAACAAGCATCGAGTTAATATTATTACTTTTGATTAAGTAGAGAAATTTATATTTTCAAAGTGAATATCGAGATTTAAACCGTATAAAATGAGATAATATAAGTATCTTTAACTACTCGATCCGTAAAAGATCCAATGTCATGAATGTTACTGAAAACAAAAGGTTAATAGGAAGGAACATGGTAGTATTTGCCTTTACACATGCACCTATACACAATGGGGCAAGACTCATCCACGGAGCACTTGAAGCTCGACCTTACCCTCTTGCACGGGAAGCACACTCCACAGGCGTGCGAACAGTCCGACAGGCTCGACCCCGTCGGCTCTAACTCCAGAGAGCCCTAAACCTAAACCTTAAACCTCCACTAATTATATACCACTTCACTCACGTATCAACGAATGATTTTATATTAGAAGATGCCAACTTAAAAAGTTACAATAAAAATTTAAATAACACAAAATTATATCGTTAATATAAAATACAAAGAAAATACATAAAATTATAAGAGAATTTAAGATTTTTAAAGAATGTGATTGCAACCTATACACCCCTTGATTCATTCCTATCTTTAATAATTATTTTATAACTTTTAAGGATTTAATAACTAACAAATTACGAGTATAGCTCAATTACCTATAACGTTCAAAACAATTAAATTAATTATCATAATAAGAAAGATGGAAATATTTATTAAAAGAACACAATATTTATATAATTAACATATATTACATCATCACTCAAACTAACTTATATCAAGTCACCAATCAAAGCCAACTTTTAGTCAACTTATCTTTTCCATAAAAAATACATCTTGGCCAGAGTTCTTAAAAAGGTAAATTCTGACATTATACCTATTAAAAATGATAAAAAAAACATATTTTCCTTTTTAAAAACCTTTTTCTTTTGTAAAAAAAAAGAGTAAATTCTGAAGGAAGAACCAAATTTGGATATATGATCAATTAATGAATTAACTCTAATAATGCCAGCACATAAGAAACTTACTTTAGCTAGACAAGAAGTTATTCCTATCAATACATATATTGTTCAAATGTGTAATAGCATGCAATGATTCCAGCTAGTTCAGGAGATGGGTTTCCCAAAGACCCTAATTGTTCCTATCAAGAACCATAAAACAGCACACAATGCACCCAAAATAGATATAATAAAGAATCCCTTGTTCCTACTTTTCATCCTACCAGTTCCAGAAGAGCTGCTGCTCATTGCTGAAACATTTGCATTTATTTTTAATCTACTAAAGCTAGACATTCGCTCAAAAGCACGGTTTACCAATGGACTCTCCGCTGCAGAAGCCGGAGTTGTGGGTATCGACTCCACAAACGACCACAGAGAAGAAGAAAACCAGCCTCCACCTCCGTCATTTTTGTCACCCTGGTCTTGCTTAGTACCGTTGTACACAAAACCTAAACACACGATAAAAAAAATAACCATACATAAGCATAGGTTCAAGTTCCCCCTTATTTTTTCCTTTACAAAGGGTTTTTTTGCCATGTCTACCGAACCATCCGTCTCATCAAGAGCTCCGAGAGGATGGAATGTAAGATAAGTTCACAAAAATTTCCATATTGATTTCCACATTTGTTCTACCTGAAGTTGGAGATGCATTCCCAAGATTTGATCCTGATGGACTGAAGGCATCACCGCTTTGGCCATGCGTCCAAAGTGAGCCATTAATTTGATCCGTTTGCAGCTGTTGATTCTGATCATGGTAACCCACCTGGTCCACAGTTGAATGGAACATCAACTGCTGATCCATCACGTTCACGTTTGGACCAGAATTAGATTGATAATCCACCTGGTTCAACATATTATCTCCTGATCTATTCATTTGAGGCAGCAACTGCTGATCCATCAAGCTTATATTAGATTGATATTCCAACTGGTAACTTGCCTGATGCATCACATTATCATACGAGAGTGGAACCGTTCCTTGATCAATAGGTCCAATGTCCTGTAGAAACATGACAGCATCTTGGTAAAGGTCAAATTCGCTCAGCCCATCCACCTCATTGAACTGCACATTCTCCATAGGTTTCTCGACATCAGAGATCAAAGGTTCAGGACCAAGGAGATCATCCATTTCCAAGAAATCCGTCTCACATAACCGGGGGAAGTGTTCAAAGTTTTCAACACCTAATGTGACCTCAGGTGCCTCCTGCAACTGCAATTGAGAAGTAGGTGACTGAGAGAATTCAAAGCTTCCTTGATCGTGGATAACCATGGGCGGCTCGGGAAACAGAATATCTCTTGGAGATGGATCCAGCAATGTACTTTGTGTCTCGCCCACACTGACACTCTGAGGCACTAAATGGCTAACACAAGATTGTGGTTGTGGAAATGGAGGCTCATCAGCTAATTGTCTCATGAACTCCTCAATATCCTGCAAAGGTGGCAGATCTTGAGCATCACCTTTTACATTATCACCAGAAATAGCCTCATCAGCTGGCTTCACATGAGTTGTAGTATCTACATGAGTTGTAGTATCTACAGGAGTACTATCATATTCCTCATCTGCCCACGCTTCTTCTTCAAACGGCGCCCCGTACTGCTCACCGTTTTTAGGACCAGGTCCGCTCTTTTTATACAATTTATAGAGAGCATAGTAATCCTGAAACGCAAATGAGAAACACATAATTAAGAAACAGCTCATATATACCAGACGAAAACTGGAAAAGCTTCTAAAGAAACATAATTCAGCCACATACCTTCACATTCTGGCACCTTTTCAGTTCCTCCTCATCAAGGGTATATTCATGCATTACCCAATCGGTTCTCTCACCGTTAGGTGCACGTCCTCTGTAGAAAACTAATGTTTTCTTGATTCCAACCGTTCGAGAATTGCAGGTAACAGTACGATCCTTCCCAGTTGCCTTCCAATATCCATGTATGGTTGCCCTATTTGACCTTGCTCCATTGGGGTACTTCCTGTCCCTTGGACAGAAAAAGAACCACTGTCTATCCCCATTCTTCAGTATGGATTGTCCTGAATATCAATTTTTGTTTATTAGAATATTAGAAAACCGATGAACGACCTAATAAAACAAAACCGAAAGCTAGAAACCAGAAAACATTATCTACTGATAGCAGCAAGGATTTCAAATAGGTATAAAGATTAAAGACACACCACATGTTGTTTTACAAATCATACACCATGATGGATTCATCCAACCAATTTTTACAATTCAAATCTCCATCGAAATCGATTACAAGAACTATAACCAAAGAAACAGTTCAATTAGTGTGCAAAGAAAACCAAATTCAACGCAGCTCAAACATATTTTTAAATCAATAGATCAAAGCGAAAATTAGCATATAAAAGAAACAATGTCCAGATAATCCTCATAAGATTAACTCGTAAAAGAAAAAAAATCAAAACAATACCCCAAAAAGGCAATTCAATCAAAACTTAAACTAAGTCAAAGCACCAAAACAACACACAAAGCACCAACAACAGTGAAACCAACAAAATAAAAGACGTGTCGCCGGAGAAAAAGCAAATCAACAATCAATAACTAAACCCTAAAAAGCAAACCTAGAAATTTTTGGGGTTTTAAGAGAAAAGGGTAAAATTACCAGGCAATTCCTCGGGATCCCACTTGTAAACATCAGTTTCCCTTATTATATCGAGCTTCAGCCTTTTTTTACAGATCTTTCTCTTCAAGTAATAAAGAATCAGCTCTTCGTCAGTTGGGTGGAACCGAAAGCCCGGTGGCCACACATCATCGTCCCCCAAACATGAATCAGACTTCACAACCGTCGCCACCACCGCCGCCGTTACCTTCATCCCTCTTGATGATAATAAAAAAAACCTTTTTTTGTTTTTTTTCTTCAATAAATGGACAAAAATTAGAGAAAATAAAAAGAAATCCGGATCAAGAGGGCTAAAAGCTGATCAAGACCCAAACTTCAAAAGAAAAATCACATTATAGGATTTTTTCCCCCGATAACTAAGGAAATAAAGAATTGCAGTCAAAAGGAGAAACTTTCGGAAGAGAAGCAAAGCGTTGAAGACTGTGTGGATGAGGGAATTTTATAATAGAAAAAAACCGGACTGATCCGAACCGGTTTGTCCAATCCCGGTTCTACTGATCTCGCGGCCTTTCTTTCCTGGAAGGTTCCTCGTGTTGGAAAAAACAGTGTACGACTCACCTTTTAGTAAAGGGTAAATGACAATCTTACTCACTGAATTTAACTCTCTCTTTATTTCACTCACGATACTTTTAACTTTTCAATTTGCTCACTGAACTTTAGACATTGAATTTTTTTTATCACTCGAATATCGTTAAATTAAAATTGATAAAAATTAAAAGTATAGTGAGTGAAATAAGAGAGAAAGTAAAGTTTAGTGAGTAAACGTGTAGCATATTTTATTATTAAAATAAGCCACGTGAGCACGTCATTACTGAGTAAACGGTCGAGTGACAAAAAAAGTTCAATGTCTAAAGTTTAATAAAAAAATTAAAAAATTAAAAGTACGGTGAGTGAAATAGGAGAAAATAAAGCTCAGTGAATAAACGTATAATTTACTCTTTAGTCAAATGTAACACTTGCCTTTTTACATCATTAATAATTAAGATAATATTACAATTCAAATTAATCAATTATCCTTTTTTTAGAGTTTATGCCAATTTTTATAAATAGTTTATTTTATTCTTTTTTTAATTTTATTTAGCTAAAAGATAGTATTGATTTTAATGATGATTGTCGTTCGTCGATTTTTTTATGACACTTTTTTTTTTACTTTTGTGGCACACTTTTTTGATTTTTCTTTCGATCGTTTGGTTGTTTTTTTATTTATGTTTTCTCAATGTGGATTTCACGACGCCACGACTAAGTAAGATAATGCATATTTGTAATCATATTGATCTTTCCCACTATGGACCATTGGATTAAATTTGAATGTGCAATTTTCCTTTTGTGGATAATTTCTCAAAATGCTCAACTTGATTTGCAATTCTCGATGATTTTTCAATAACTTAATTCTTTTTTGCAATTCGTTTATCGATGTAATCAAATTTGTTCGTATCTATTTTTAGTTTAAGTCTTTTGATTGAGCTTTTAATTTTTTTCATGTATGATTCTTATATAATCTAAAGTGATTAATTTCAATATTATAGAAAAATATCTAAATTATATATTTAATTTACGATGGTAATTGTAAACGCTATTGTAATTTTAAATATTTTATTTTTTTTAATAATACTAATTGCTTTTATTCAAAGAAAATAATTAATGAATAAATAGATTATTATTATTATTAAAAATAATAATTTTTATTATTTGTCAATATTTTAAAACTATAAATATATTTTAGAGAAGCAAAAATATATTTTATGTTGATAATATGTAATGTGTGCAAATAGATTTTATTTCCATAAAAGTAAGGGAACAACGTAATATTTGGATTACGATTGTGGATGACATCTTGGTTAAAAACAAAGTTAGACTTTAGAATTTCGATGTATTTAAGTTGAAATTTTAATTTGTGTAATTATATATACATTTTATTTTTATTTTAATCTCATAATATATATTTTTTCAAAGAGTAATATCAGATTTTTTATATTCAATTTTATTGATTAAATAAAACGATTTTCGAAGAAAAAACATCATATAATATGTGTAGATATAACGTAAAACTTCGACTATAATTTCCTTCATATCATTTATTCAATAAAAAAACTTCTAAAAAATTGAACCACCCAAATATAAATTTACTTTAATTTATAGCAGAAAAAAGATTAAAATTGTCTAACTATTAGATTATTAAAAAATTCAAATTAGCACCAAAATAAAAAAAATAGAGAATATGAAAATTTAGTTTTTCTCTAGATTTTTTTATGTTTTTATCAAAAATATTAGAAAATATGGGAAATTAAAAATATCATGATTCAAAAAATAATTAAAAAGTACTATTGAAATAACAATAACTTATAAAAAACTAACTTGTAGGATAAGGTAATAATTTAAAAAATAGATAGACAATTATATATTTATTTACAATTTAAGTAAAATATAAGAAAAATTATATTTTGAGAGTATCAATTTACTATGGTATAAATATATTAATGATTTTTTTAAAAAATAAGGGAAAATAAAATGAATTTCAAACATTTTGAAGGCCAAAAAGACATTAGAGGTAGTATAGACCAAAAATGTATTGGTCAAGTTCTCTCATTTAAGAAATATTAGTCAATGCTTTGAACGCACCCATTGTATTAGAAGGGGGAAAAAAGGGGCCCAAAAGCACACGAGCACACACACATGCACGCATAAACACACACACACGTCATACATGCATACTCACACACATACAGAACACATACACACGCATACATGCACCCACGTGTGTGCCTGTTGTACCCACGCTTTAACCTAGCCACCAATATACCAAATGTAAGTAGCAGTATAATGATATCCAATGTCAACCGTTTGAGGCATAAGTAAAAATGTACTCAAACAACGGAAAGTTTCCACTCATTCCATTAGTACAGATAGTAAACTTTGAGGTGAACTGTGAAGGATACCTGAGAACTCCGCATGATTTTACACTTTCATCTTTTTGAATCCAGTTTGGCACGTCGTTCTTCGTACGATGCTGCAAAAAATGAGTTGGTCTAGGCCGTGTCATCTCGCAGAAGTTGAAGAAAACGTAAAGGTGAGTACTTGAAAATGTGAGTTGCTGAAAGATTAAATATCACTAGTCGACCAAAACAAAAGTCGTCTCCGTTGATATTGTGTTCGTCGACACATCTATAGTAAAAAAACTCAGATAATTAAGCTATCAAATTACAGAACTCACCATCATCTAGTTCAAATGTAAGGAAAGATTAACGGCAAATAGAAGTAAAGGAAGGTCGCCCCACACTTTCCAAAAGAGATATGGTCTTTAAGATTATAAGGAACCCTACACTAGAAGCCATTCATTTCTTCCAAAACAAACATTTCCTCAATGACTAACACGTCTGCTACAGCGATGTTTGCTTTTCTAATAAAACCCTAGGGCATCGATCAGACTTGATTTTTTTTATAACTTGCATATTTGTCGACTTTTTCAGAATGAACATTGCGCACATCATGAATTTCTAGATGAGGTATGATCTAAACTGCCACCATTGTTATACAAGCAAACTTTTGAATTTTCCTAGATAAGTTTCTCTTTGTTGGTAATAAATATATCGAACGGCACCTTTTTAAACATGCTAATATCTATGAATAATGCAGGATAGCATCATTTTCTAGCAGTGATGGTGTTTTTAACGAAAGATCGAGTGTAGCAGCACTTACGCTCAGTTGGCCGTGACAAGAGAGGAATGTGGGAAGCGACCTTGATTGTTCCATCATTCAGCAAGCTCTGATCTGAAAAAAGTTGAAGCTCTTTCACCGAGATATATCAACATAAACAAATAGAACAGTAAGACCTTGATAGAAATGATATGGTAGAACTTGGTTTCTGCACCATTTGCTAAAGGCAAGCAACTCAGAGCGGCTTCCTGAAAAATTGCTGATTGAAGCTGGTATGCTCGACCCTCATTTTCCAAGTGTATACGCAGTGCTTGCCCAGAATCTAGTAATAAAACCACTGGATAATTCAAATATTTCAAACATAAATGATTGCCGACTTGGCAAATGTGCAAGTGATATATGGATGCAAACCGTAATATTTTGTGTTTGCTTCTGGATCAGGGCAAATTTTAGCATAGAAATCAGTACTCTATATTTAACATGAGTCGAAGATATGAGGTTGTTGCTGTTGTTGGCGGTGGGGTGTGTGTGTGTATGTGTGTGTTTTTGGTATCATGTACCTGAGGAGCAAATAAACTTGACATCTTCGAATTCACAGGATTGAAGGACCAATGGTATCTCTGGAGCCATGGCGTACTGAGGTTTTCTTGGTGTCTTCTCAATGTCCAATAATACATCTATCACCTACACAAAACGATTGATAGGTCACTTGAAGTGAATGTAACTCATGCCAAAAGGTAAAGATGCACGCATAACACACTAGAAATATGTAAAAAAATGAATAAACAAGCAAATACATTTGGATTGGCCAACAGGCATCATGCTGGTCAATATCGGGAAAAGGACCAGCTCGAAGGAACAATACTTAGTTCCAGGGTCTGTTTAATTCCACCTCTGACGTAGCAAAACAATTTATCAAAAACCGAAAACAAAGAGGTAAAGAGAATAAGTCACGCACTTCAACTGATTCGAGACCTTGGCCAATCATAAATAGCACAGCAACCATGCACCGCACCTGATGCCATAGGAAGGCACTACCTTTAACTTTAATAGCACAAAGCTGATCGCCTTCAAACCTGCAAGTAACAACAGAAGATTATCCACTTCATACATACTAATGGAACTTTAAAATCGACACTTAGAGTCTACCATTCTACCTAATATAAATATAAAATATGTGCATATATATATATATATATATAATCTCACTTGAATCAACTGGAACAAATAGATAGTCACCTCATATTAGACGAAGAAATTTCAAACTGTGTAATGCGTCGCCTGTAGTTGTGTACATTGGCTGCATCCATCTTACAAAAGTTTCTGAAGTCGTGTTCTCCAATAAATTTCTTTCCAGCATTCTCCATAGCCTAGCAATAAATAAATAAATACTGCATTACTATGTCTGAAATCTGATGAGAACCCATAAAGTCAGCCATGTAAAGAAAATGCTTACTGGGAGATTCAAATTTCCTCTCCAAAAGAAGTATTTATATTCTCTAGACAAACAACTAAACCTGCACTGAGAGACAATATGACATCACTTCACCAATAATATAGCTAACATAATGAGTTCAGAAAGAAATTTATAACGATAACAGAGCCAATGATTCTGGCTATAAATCCATCTAGGATGAATTAGGTTTTAACTATCCTCTCTAAACTGAATCTCCTCAAAATGTAAAAAAGAAATAAACTTTTTCAAAATTTAGAAAGACCTTGCACTGAAATCAATTGAAACAGGACTCCATCCTAAAATTCGAATATCGCTTGGAAGAACTCGGTTCAGTACTCTCACATAATCAATTTCTCCTTCTGATAAAAATTCAAAAAGTAACAACATCATAAGTTACGATATTTTGTGCCTTTTCTTCATTGTCAACTCAACATGTTTACATTTTTCTAGAGAAGCTGAAGCTAATAAATTGATAAGGCCATTTAGAAAATGGACTGCGTTTTACTTTATTAATCATCTAATGATATGTTATTCAAATTTGGCAAAATTCACCAACATAGAATGCCGATGTGATTGTCAGGCAAATAGAAACTACAGAATCATCCAAACTTTAATTAGTTTCTAATCTCGATCAAAATTTTTATTTTCCTTGAAACATGTGAGTTCACATGTACCAGTTTTCCCTAATTATGCATGTGTATTGTACCCTCCACTACTGGAATTGCTCAGGAGTCTATTTGACAGCACAAGTGAGGAAATTAAAGGAGCTTTACATTGAAGGATTTTATTCCATGTCAGCACTACTTTGGCCCACATTTTTCATTCTAGTTTCTCCAATTGTATAACGAGGTCTCTCAATGAAGAAGTGAGTCTGCTAAGACATTTGATGAAAAATTATAATGCTCAAAGCTCTTTAAACAGTTTGATCTACCCTCAAACCAAAATTGTTCGTCCTAAATAAAATACTCTGTTACTAGCTTTATTAGTTAAAAATAAGTCCTTTCATGTTCAATTTCAAATTTGCAATAGCATCTAGAAAATGATAGAATTCAAGGATTTGGAACAAGAAAAATCCATGAATCACAAACATCAAATTATTGTAACAGATACAGCTTTTATTGGAACTTAAGAGTCTCCAGGATAGAATAAGTGGCTCACCAATTTGCATCTCCGGAATTAATTCTCCTGAAATTTTGTTGTTTGCATCAATTTCTTTGAGGTTTGACCTTAAAAACAATGAAATCACCTGCATCAAGCATTTTTTTCATGTTCTTAGTGTTCAATAGGTAAAAGATAAACCATGGTTCAAAATTACAGTTAGATTAAAGGAGGTTCTTCTACTGATCAACTTACTTGGCCAACAGAGGATACCCCCTTATCTGTTCTGCCACATCTTGAGTACTGTGATTCCTTCCTGTCACCAACTAAAAGCCTTGTTTTCTCGAGAGCTTTGAAAATTTCAGACTGCATGAATGCTAGAGTTATACTAATATATCCAAGAGAAAAACTAACTGAATAATATACATCTGATACAAGTTCAAGTATATTATGATTTAAGAGTTGGTTTCTTTTTTTCCCTCATTTAAAAGATTCAAATAAATCTTGCACTTGTCATTCATCAGCTGTAAATTTCCGAAAGATATTTAAGAATCATACCTCAACAGTGGGATCCATTTGTGCTTCTGAAGCAAAACCATAAAACCTGTCATATAGAACTGGAATTATAAGACTTTGTTGCTTTCTACACTCTTTACCAATTTATAAATTTTAATTTCCTTTTAAAATATTATGAGTTCCAGAATCAAATGATAAAATGAAGCAGACTTCTATGGCAAAGAAAGAATCTTTGCTGATGCAGACAATAAATCTCACTTACCCTACCAACGCTGGTATCAGAAGGGCTTAATCTTGATATAATCTTAAATTAACTTTTCAATGGTATTTAATAGGAATCTTACAGATAAACTACATAATGAAAACAATGCCATGTAGATACTAGAAGAAACTCAGTCCATGTCCAAGTTTCAATGTCTCAATCTCTTCAAAATGCCACCAAGTAAAAAAGCAGGTACAGTATTTACATATTATAGCGGAAAGCCGGAAACAAGTCTAGATTTCGTTACTGTTCTCAAAGGAATGCTGCCCGAGCAAGAGGGTAAAACATAAAATCATCACTGTGGATGACCCTATCTGGCTGGAATGAAGGTTGAACCATGTTAAATGAAATAGACTGTACAACTATTAAAACTAGTTCTTCTGCCATAAATACTCGGTTGCTATTTTTTTTATCCTTTCCGTCCCCTTTACTTGAGGGTATGGGTTGTTTAGAGAAACTTCTAACAGTAGGAAATACGAAATTGACACCAAGCAACATAAATACTGCAAGGGATTATGGTTAAATTGTGTACCTTTGACCAAAATACATGACTTTTAGAGCAACATATCTCTTGGGATGGTGACTCATAATTGTCAAATTATAACCTGTTTAGAAAGGATAGAATTTGATACATAAGAAGATTCCTGATAACAATGTGATACTTCTTAAGCAAATATGCAAGATTAAGCAAAATACAATTACATAATCAAGGAAAACGTTTTACTAGGACAGTATCTTAATATACTTCAGGGCTAAAATGGTGCAACTGAACGCAAGCTGAGTAACTTGCTCTATAACAGATTACCTATGCAGCATTTTTATAAAATACTACTAATGCAACACGTCTCCAATTTCATATCACAGGAATCACTTGATTGTCATTGGCAAGCAAAAGAAAAGAAACTATGTAACATGTTTGAAATAAACACATATAGATATGTGAATAAGAATTTGGCATGTAAATTTTTCTTCTTTTCATCAAATGCATACATCAAATCTTCAATCGTTGTTTATTTTTAGAAGCTGCATAGCAAACTTGAAACAGGCAGGATAGATCAATCATGGGAACCAAAAGAATACAAAGAAGTAGACACCAACAAGATCGATTCAAAATAGCCAAATTGCATTAAATTCATTGTCAGAAAAAAAAACATGAATAATGACCAGATCCTGATGGCATAAGGATTATTTATTTTCTACGGTCTTTGGTAAATCTGTCCTTATTTTTTAATATCTTTCGTTAACAATACATCACCTCATAGGTGGAAACGTATATATGTATACTTCATCCTTTTCTGTTCTATCATATTTTATTTATCAGCATAATAAACTTGACTATTGCCACAGCACCACTCATGGAGTATATTCTCTAATAAACTAGCTGGACGGTTTTAACACAAATCTAACATTGACTCTCACATTTAACATAAATACAAGCATGTATGGTGGAGGACGTCTATTGGACCAAAAAGAAGTTCATCATTAAAAAGCCACAATTTTCTCATTAAGGTTTTATACAAATTGGCAAACTTGTTTGTCACATGAAAGAAGCAACATCTAATGAGATAAAGTAGAAACTTTCAACACAAAGCCATTGCCCGTTTACTCGAATCACAAGAAGCAATCCATTGAGAATTTTCCTCACTGTAAACAAACTCAAATGACATTTCAGATCAATCAATAGACAGAGACTAGAAAAGAAACCTGGATTTCTTTCTGTTGTTTTCTTTTTTCTCGTCTTATCGCCTCCAGTGTTTTTTCTCCGACTTTCCATACCCTGTTTGAAGCATTCAACATCAGAACCGTCATGCATCTCCTCTGTCGGCACCATACCAGTACTTATAGTCCCATAAGTAACAATTGCAAGTATTATAACAAAAACCTCCCCTCCCCTCCCTTTTCCCCCTCCTTTTTGGATCGAATAAAAAAATATGAAATGGACACAAGAAGGTGTATATAAATCATAAACCAAGAGCCAGGAAGTTTTTATAAAGTACATCAGAGACTACTGAATTGTAAATTGGAGCTTCTTCCTTTAATATAGCTACAAATTGATCATTTTACTAATAAAATAAATCTTGTTAAAAGAAAAAAAAAGTAGCAAAATGAACTACTGAAAAAAATTGTTGCAAATAAGGCGTTTCTGTTGCAAATTCTTCTATATACAAAACGGAAGAACAATAACAAATTACAGATAATAATTATAAAAACAACAGAATAGAGAGAAAGAAAAAACATCAAATTCAGTAAAGAACCTTATGGCAAAAACATTTGGAGAGTCGAGATGATAGCTTTGCGTTCTCAGACTCCAATTCCTGATTAAAAAATAACAAACATAAGAAATCAATAATTGATGAATAATATGAGATCTGACAAGAAATGGAAATTAAAAAGTAGGAAAAGCAATAAGAACCTGGACTCTATTTTGGAGAGCCTGTAGTTGAGATATCAAGCTACCGCCGATATCACTGCCACACTCGCTTGTTGAGTTTGACATTTTCACCTCACCACCGCCAGCGAATCGTTGCTAAAGCCGCCGCCGTTTTGCTCCGTTTATTTCCCCCCCGGGACAATGGAGATCTTGTTCGAAGTGAACTACAGGCTACAGCAGCTCTAAACTACGACGTATTGAACTTCAATGTTTTCTTTTAGATAAACTACAGTCCTTGAACTTTAACCACATTTTAATTTTGAACACTGAATTATAAAAAATATGTAAATATAACACGAAACTTTTTTAATTTTTCTTAGTTATTGACAATTGATATTTACTCTACAAGCATAATTACTCGAACCTGAATCTTCAAATAAAAAAATTATCATTTGTCACTAATTCACACAGTAGATTTTACCAACAATCAGTTGCTCTCAGTGGAGGATATAAAAATATTTTTCAGGGTAGGCACACATATGTTAACAACATAAAATTTTTAAATGGGATGAGTACAAATAAAATTTCAGGGTGGACACCATCCATAAAATAAGTAACTAATCAAAGAAAACTCAAATTTTATGGTGGACACGAAAAATTTCAAGGTAGGCACCATTAGTAAAATAAGTAACTAATAGAATAAAACTCGGATTTCACGATGGGTCTCTAAAATGTGCTCTGCCACTGGTTGATCTAGTGTGATGATACATTAGTTCCCTTAAGCAAGGTCAGGGGTTCGAGCCTTGACGCTTGGAATAGAGCAAACTGGGTTGGGAGGGTCGCTCTCGCCTATGCAGTACCTGATCTAGATTAGTCAGTCAATAAATCGGATACTAGTGATTAAACCAAAATTCGATTGTTTAATTTTTAGTTTTGATAATTTTTAAATTTAGTTCTTAAACTTCTCTTTCCTTACAATTTGGTCATTGAAATTCTATAACACTTTCAACCTGATTTCCATCACCATTGCCCCTTTTATTTTCTTATTTATTTGTTTCTTCATCTCTTTGGTTAATTTATCTTTTGTTTTTTTTATCTATGATGAAATCTCATATGATTGCTGAATGATTAAGTCTTTTCTTGACATGGAGACTCTGTCGTCGGGGTTAAATACTCCTATCAGAATAATAAAGTGTTTTGATTCTTAAATAGTACGAACTTGAGTTTATATAAAGGTAATGAGATGTCATTTTTATCTTGAATCTGATGATTCGACTTTCACAAATCCGTAAAGACTACAACTTTTAATTATGATCTTTCTTAGTTTCCTTACAAATTTAGTTTAAGTTCACTATACGGATGGGCATGGGTGGGTCGGGTCGGGTCGGGTTTACGGTCAACCCTATCTGATCCAAAAATATAAATATTTCACTTGAATCTCGACTAGATTTGAGTTTAGGGGTAACTTCACCCGACTCGAATCTAACCCGGTTTTTTGAGATAAAACTCGTATTTGACCCAATTTGATTTGAAATAAATATATTCTATAAAAGAATATTATTTTTATTCAATAAAAATATAGATTTAATTGAAAAAATAGTATATTAAGGATGATTATTATTATTATCCCAAAATATATAAAGTAAATATACATTATTTTTCTGGTCGAATCGGGTATTTTTCACCCTAAACTGAATTCGACCCGAACATATTTTCTAAAAGACTCAATCCAATATGACCCAAACTCATTTTTTTTTTAAAATCTGATCCGATCGAGACATGTTAGATCAATACATCGAATTTGAGTCATATACCCATTCTCTATAGTAAGGGCTAAAGTGGAGGGCTGTTACCGGAGTTTTGTGTGACAAGAAGGTGCCTCTAAAACTTAAGGAAAAATTTTATAGAATGGCAATAAGACCAGCGCTGCTGTATGGATCAGAATGTTGGGCAATCAAGAAGGATCACATAAGGATGATGGAGGTCGCAGAAATGAGAATGCTTCGTTGGGCATGTGGTAGGACTCTGTGGAATATGACACCAAACTCTTCTATTAGGATGTCCTTGGGGGTGGTGCCTGTATCCGGAAAATTGAGGGAGGGAAGACTACGGTGGTTTGGGCATGTAACATCCTAAACTACGGGTTAGTGATCAAATTGTAAAATTTCAGAATTTGGTGATTAAAGTAGAATAGTTGAATAGTTAAATGATTTAATTGAGGATATTTCCTGAAATTTTTTTAGTAATTATCAAATGATTTAAAGGGCAAAATGGTCATTTGATATTAAAGATATTTTTATCCCCTTTAATAGGAGATAAAAACGTGGAGAGATGAAATTATTTCATATTCTTCTTCCTTTCTTCTTCCTCTTCCCGTAAGAGCTCAAAGGCAAAGGTAAGTTTCTGATTTCTTGGTTATTTGTTGATTTAAAAGTTGGGTTATGATTATTAGATGATAATTAAGCTTAAGGAAAGCTTAATTTGTTCTAAAACAACAAGATGAAAGGTATAGGAGAGATTAAAGATTTTGAGTTTTTGAATGAAATCTTGGAATAGAGTTTATAATTAGAAGTGGAAGTCAATTTTGACTTGTCATAAGTGAAATAAAGAAGTATGAAGTATTAGAATTGAATTTAGAACATGTGGAAAATTTGGTATGATTCTTAATTTTAAGAATCATAATGAGATATGGAAGACAAAGATGGTTTATATGGATATAAGTTGGTTTAAGTGATGGTAGTTGAGTTAATGGTATGATAGGGGCTTAAAATAGAAGAATTGAGTGAAGAGTTTATGATTTTCGGGGTTAAATAGCAATTCTAGATTTTCCAGAATACGCAGGGGGTACAGATCCCCCATGGGGGGTATCGATTCCCCCCTAAATGAAAAAAATGGGATTTGGTTCATTAAATCGGTTTAAGTTATTAACATCAAGTTTAAGGTTTAGGTTTCTGATAGTTGTTTTGAAATGTTCTATTTATGTAGATATTGAGCCTAAACAAGTTCCGGAATAATCAAAGGATTATGATCGAATCAAAGCAAGGCTAAGGTGAGTGCAATTTAATTTGTGCTTATAGAACGAACATTGGCTTGCGATTAGCCAATAATGGAGTTACTATGGTAAGAGGTAACTTTTAAAATATTATGTGAATATTACTATATAGAAATGGATATATATTCTTATATGTTACATGATTTACATGTTTACGTAAAAAAAATACACTAGTGATATATGCGATGTATTGGAAACATATGAGAACAAGAGATAATATGATTTGTATGAATTCATGAGTAAAGGCATATGTGAATATAATTTGTATGCATTATATGTCATGTGAACATAAGAGGATAGAGCATGTTATATGTGATATGAGATTAAGTGATGAAACATAGATGATATATATATATGATGATATAAGAATAAGACATGAATCGAATGATATATATGTTTATGTGAATTCATGCAAAGTGATACGAGCTATGTGACATATAAATATGAATTCATATGAAAAGTGACATGAATTACATGATTACAGGCATATGTGAACAAAGCTATGAGCTTATATGAATATGTGAAATGATAAATAACAATGGCCATGTTATATGATACGAGAACTATAGGTATAGTTGGCATGCCAAGGGTCGAGGGTTTCATAGGTCCTTCGGGACAATACAATGGTCCTTCGGGACAATATAGTGATCCTTCGGGACAATACAATGGTCCTTCGGGACAAATTTCATATGCCACTCAGTGGGACTTATACGAGCTGTGGTGACAGCATTAGTGCACAACCTCAATGTACTCACATACCTTCCGTTCTCACCAGTGTACTATGGGCTAATAAATAAATAATATCAAACATAATATATATATGATGTATATGTTTGTTTTTATGATACGAAATGCATTATATGAATTATACGATATTATGTATGTTTTGTTATGAAATGATATATGTGTTCCATGATGTATATGGAAAGGTTCAACATATGCTTATATGATTAAAAAGGAATTACTAATAATAAGATGATTATTGATAAATGTATATGTGTGCATTGGTTATACAATGAAAGATATGTTTTATATGATATGATAGTATTTGCAAATATATGCTTTTGTTTATATGAATGGTATATGGTTATACTATATGTTTTATATTCCTTACTAAGTCATCGACTTAGCGTGTGATTGTTTCACACGTAGGTTTGGAAAGCGAAAAGAGAAGTAAAGAGGAACAAGACAGGTCAGTTCTCCTTACCGAAGATTAGATGAGAAATATAGTTGAATTACATGTATTTGGTTATATAGATAGTTAGCATGTAATATAAAAGATTTGAATCTGATATGTTTTAATCGGTTTTGTAAAATCATATGATTGAATTTTATAATGTTTTGAATGTGTATAAGTAAATGGAAATTTTATATGAATGAAACCTCATATTTTTATAAATTTATATGTATTTTACGGAAGTACTGTAGCAATCCTGTAGCAGTACTGTAGCAGGGTATCGATTCCCTGTAGCAGGGGAATCGGTTCCCCTTTTTGATCTGGAAAATTTTAACATTCAGATACTGTAGCAGGTAATGTTCATCACTGTTCATTAATGTTCATACGGCACTGTTCATACATATTTTACTGTTCATAAATACATTTTTGACTCGAAATTTTATACAAAACACAATTTAATAGAATATTGTGGTATTTTCTTAAAATGAGTTCAAATGTTTTGATATTTTGTAAGAAAAAGGTTTTGAAAAGTTAATGTGACATCTCAGACTCGTATTCGGGTCGGATACGGGTTGGGGTGTTACAGGGCATGTCCTTAGGCGACAACCATCGGATGCGGTCATAAGGGTAGAGTCGATTACAGTCGACGGTGCCAGAAGGAGAGGACGACCAAGACGGAAGTGGGAAGACTGCTTGAGATCTGATTTGAAGGATTTAGCACTTACCGAGGACATGACCTCTGATGGGAAAGTATGGACACTTAAGACCAGGGTAGCCGAGTAGTGCGTGTCACATCCATAGGGTGTATCACCTCTGTCTTCTTTTAATGCCTTTGTAGAAATTTCCATGACTGCTACTTGATATTCATTTCTGTTATTGGAATTTATGAAGTCTTAGAACTAGAGTAGCGGAGAAGTGTTGCCTTAATTTAGGTTTTAACCCATTTG